CACTCACACCGGAAATACCAAACTCTATATAACTATTGAAAAGTAAATGATATAATGATTTAATTGATTGTTTGTCTCATTTAACACCGCGTTAGACAAACATTGCATCACTTTTACATAACCACAGCTTATTTGCTATGCCTATGCCTGGGGTTTGTGTTTGAGTTGACGGTATAAAGTAGTCAATGATAGAAAAGCCGGTATACAAGCGATCAATGCATAGATACAATAATGCTTTTAAATCCGGGTCTTTTTAATTCCGTGAGTACCCCCTCTTTCTGCCCCCATTGACTGTACGCTCCTAAAAATCATTTGTACACACCTACAAAATCATCCAATAATAGAGGGACACGGAATTAAAAAGACCCGGATTTAAAAGCATTATTGATAAATATAACTTACATTTAGTTTTACGTTACGTAACGTAATATAAGATCATTTTGATTGCTCTTCGCTGTAATAATAGCCCTAATGTTGAAAAATATTGAAAGTATTGAAAAATACAGTGTTTTTGCGTTAAATCAGTTTCAATTGCATATGAAAGCAGTATTACTGTTAAAGCAATCAACTATTTTGCTAGACTTTTTGGGTTAAGCTTTCAATGGATTATGAAATGCATTGCATTGAATGTATTGAATGATTGCATTGAATCATACAGTGATGTAAACTCTCATTGAATTGTGGATCAAATTGAGGTGCAATTGAGATGAATGTGAACATAAAATAGTAATATTATCTCATATAATAAACATCACTATTGCTTTCGCATATCTGCCAATGTTTACAATTAGTTTTTAAATAATTAATTTGAGACTAAATAATAGAAATGGTTTTAAATAAAGTAAATATTATTCAATTGAAATGTTTATAAGACTTGATTTCATAGTAATTTGAAAGCATAGATGATAGCAATGATAATATTCTAGTTGTAGTATTTGGTCGTATACTTGACTATAGGTTGTATTTACCGCTATATCAACATAACGTACATTTCATTGCAATTTGCAAATCATTATTCACTGGTTTTTAAACTTTTTTTATTTGATATAACATTAAATATACAATGAATACAGAAATTGCTAGAAAATTGCCATTATTTACAGCAAGTTTTTGTCTATAGCTGTTGTATAACTTATTTGTTAGTGAAAATATATTAACATATGACCATGGTGATCGTAGTGATCGTAGTAGTTATTATTGGATACCATACCCGTTGTTACGCAATCTAAACGCATTCAATAATAGTTTGCTTTTTAAAAGGCTATCCAAATAAATGTGTCGAAAGAGATTGAAGGGAAGGGGAGTTGAAAACACGGTTTAAGCGTAACGTATGTCTGAACGCTTGGTATGCGTTATGCATACTAAACGTGTTTACGCCTCATATTTGTTGTCCGATATGTTTCCCAAATTTATTTATAATTCAAATCTATAGTGAATTAAAATATTGGAAAAGTAGATAAAAGTGGTCTGAATTAGAGTGAAAGACAATACACACACTTTGGGTACATTGGGTTTGCGTGAGTGTCGGGAGGGGTGGGGTTAGGGGGCGAACGGGTCGGGCATTAGTGGGAATATAGGGAAGTCTAGTTGTGGTGTGAATATTGAGCACACATTGGAATGCATTGAATAGTCGTATTGAAAGAGCGTTATAGTCGTCACAGCTCTGTATCAAACATGTCGTCCACTCTCTCTCTCTGTGAAGGCATGAATGCAATCAATGAGTGAACCATTAATTCAATGCATTATTAAATGGACTTCAAATCAATAGATTCGGTGAGTGTTTGACTAATGAACGAACTCTTTGTGTGTTGTTATGAGACGTGTAGTGATGTCTTGTATGTCTGTCCTAACCGTTGAATGTGTTGTGTTTGGTTGAGTGATGTCTTGTGTTTTGTATAGTTTTGTTGAGCCATTGATTGTCTCTCTCTTTACTAATAAGTGGTAATTATCTGTTATCTGCTAATCGACTGCTCGCGAAGACAATGGAGTTTCTGGACTTAAGTGACGCCAACGATGACGAGAAGGCAGAAGTGATGGCAATCATCGGTTCCGGACCTCAAGGCGTCGAAGTATGCGACGGATTATCCGCTGCCATAACTGATGAGTCATTTTGTATTTACTTTTCCTCTTTCTCTCCTTATCTTAGTTTCCATTTGAGTGCAAATCAGTGGCCAATAAAATGCGGTCACAAACTCACGAGTCATTCAATTGCGAACTCCAGGAGATGATGCACTCCGGGAACAACCCATCGGCGGTCGACGTGTCGTCGATGAACTCGACGCCCACTCCGAGACACGAACCGATGCCATCGATTCATCCGTTTGTCAGCCACGCGTCCGAAACAATACCGCAATCGTCGAACTCGTTATCCCAATGGGATATGAGTGGTGCCGGCGGTGGGCCTGTAGTGTGCGGTCCACCGCATCAGTATATATACCATCAAACGCCGACCCATTACTACGCCAACACTCAAATGCCCGGTCAGTACTATAACGCCGTTCCCAACGGTATTATGAGTGCGAAAGAGATGAACAAAATGAGAGGATCGGCGCCACAGATGAGTGCCGGCAAAGCTGGCAAATCCATGCATAACGACATGAGAGCACCGTTTTATTCAACTTCCAGCCCATTTGCCGAAGTATGTTATGTGCTTATATTTTATTTAAATTGCTTTTTAAACATATGTTTTGCCGAACCACTCGAAGGTACCGCAACTGATTGATCCAAACCGACCGCCGGCCACAGCACTAGTGGGCGACGGAATGGTAGCGCCGGTGCAGCCAATGTTTTCGCCGGGATATCCGCACACTTATCTCCCGCATCCGAGTCCGTTCACTGGGCATCCCATGTATATCATCGCCACACCCGAGGGTTCTTACATTACATATGGTGTCCAAATGGCCGCTCCCGGCGTTCAACAAATACCTCGATCTTCGAGCCCACACACTGTTCCTAATGCTGTCGACACAGACTCAGCCAACATATGTAAAGTGCCTTCAAATGCTAGCAGCGGTTCCAACTATTCCAATGACCACATCGACGAAGATGTGAATGACATGAATGATGAACTCAACGACGAACTCGAGGCCAACGATTACAACGAAACCAATGATAATAATGGACTCGATGTTGAAAACTATAGTAATGTTGAAATGAATGTGAATTCAAATGACACGAACAATGTTTATGACAAACAATTGATCCAAACGGAGAACAATGTTGAAGTGAACGGTGAAGAGTCAACCGACAGCACCAGTGCTACCCATTCAACACAACAAACCAGTTCTTTGGCATCAGTTTCAGTGACATCGACCAAAGAGGAGGCAAGTGATGGTGCGGTGTCAACGAGTAACGCCAGTCAGAAATCGTGGGCCTCTCTCTTCAAGGGCTCGTCTTCTATCAACACAATCAGCACATTATCTCAACACTCATCTCAAACATCCGGGGGTTTGACCGCCGGTTCAATAGTCAGCCATAACTACAATAATGTGAATTTGTTTGAAAATGACAGTCATTTGAATTCTAGTGGTGTTGTGAACAGTTGTGAAAGTGAGGCTCAAATCCAATGCATTCCTATTCATACGGATCCGTTCGCCATTAAACTATCCAAAAGAGTCAAAGAGATTCGTTTGAATCACTTTCTACCATATCTTATACCCACGGGTTTTGTCAATCGTGGCAATTGGTGTTACATTAATGCCGTATGTATTCTCTCATTTGAATTTGTATTTTGATAGTGAAATTAAATGACTGTTTTGAATGCTCACATCAGACCCTTCAAGCACTGGTCGGTTGCCCTCCTTTTTATAACCTAATGCGCGAAATAGGAGAGACCAGAAGTCTATTCAGAGAGCGATCGTCGACACCAATAATCGACAGTTTGTACGTAAACTTAATATTGCTTTTTAATTGACACCAAACTTATCAATCGCTTTCATAACTCGTTTGGCAGTTCACGCCATATATTAATACAGTATAGTATATGGCGTTTATATATAACGCTATAGTTTCCAAAAATCAATCATTACGTCTATTTTTATAAATACTTTTGTGGGTATTTAGCACTTCATTCATACTATAATGTCGTTATATTATTGTTTGCTTTCGGTTCACATCTGTTTAGAAATGTTTTAGATTTTATGTATTGAATGTTTGGCGGTTTTGAGAAACAATTTCTCATTATATTGACAAATATCTCAAACTTTAATTATTTTACATTATGTTTATTAAAAGCTAACATAATCTCAGGTTTATATCAATTATTTATGTATTAAATAATATATCGTATTTCCAGTTTAATTTATGCGATAATTTGTAATACTTTAGTCGAATTATGAAAATATTAATTAATATTTGTTTTATTTAATATTTTTAAACATTAAGTAATATTAAATGTAACGAAAGATTTATTTGAGTTATAAATTACTAATTAAAAGAATGGGAAATATTAGCAGACATTATATAAATTATATATTCCGGTCATTGCATCCAATGTTTGCTTATTTAATATTTTAGTCATTTTTGGTTCACAAGTGAAAAAGCAATTCATATTCACATTTCTTCATACATTTAGTTTGCATTCCAATCGTAACATAAAAATGATTTATTATGAAAAGCGAGTGAAGATTTTTTATAGCATTTCTAATGCATTTGCCACACATTTCTGAACTTTTTCAAGCATTTAAAGGGACTTTAAGTTGTTTTTTGCATTAGATTTTGTTTTTATAAGACATTTAATTAATTAACAAATTAATTGCAAAATGTAGCGCAAAATTATTCAATTGTTTGACGCCTTCCGATCACTTGACGAAGAAGCAGAAAAGTGGCCTAAATATGGCCACTGAAGACATGCCCCGCGCGGAGCCAATAGAGCCGCGTTGTATTTACGACGTCTTGGGTTCCATTAAATCCGAATGTCTTAAAGGACGTCAAGAAGACGCTGAAGAGTTTCTCTCCTCTGTTCTCAATGGTCTTCACGAAGAAATGATAGCTCTGTCAGAGCTCTGGGCCGATGAGAATCAGAATAAGAGTCTGAACGGACAGCACTCGTCTGCAAAGCCATTGAACGGACACATCGGCGGCAAACAGGAAAATGGCGATCATTTTGGAGACCAAAACGACAGCTATGCTGAAGACGACGACTCGAATCTATGGAAAGAAGTTACTTCTAGACACCGACCGATGCCAACCCGTTCTGTAAGTCACAGTGATTACTATATTTTGATAAATTACAAAAATTAAATGTATACTGTCTTATAGGCAAAAATAATTCCAACACAAATATCAGACATCTTCGGCGGTTCGACACTCGCTATTAGGACCGCTGGTAAAGACCAGTGTGGAAACAGACAGCCATTCTTTGCACTCCAACTGGACATTCAGGTAATGCTTTATATTTTAGTTATTTGGTAATTATTTAAACGTTTGATTGGTTTTGCCAAACAGTCAGATAAAGTAAAGTCAGTGGAAGACGCTCTCAAGTGTTTGACGATTACTGAATCAATTCACGGATATATGTGTCCGAAGACGAAGCAAGCGGTGGACGCGAGCGCTCAAACATTTTTGGATACATTACCTCCTATTTTAATACTTCATTTGAAACTATTTGTGTACGATATGGACGGCGGGTGTCGTAAACTAATGAAAAAAATTGAATATCCGGTGGATTTAGAGCTCCCAAGAGATTGTCTACATTACACATTGGAGAAAGAGAAGAACTTTCAGCTCAAACGATACAAACTATTGAGTGGTTAGTGCTTTGATTTAATTTAATTATTATTGAAATGTATATTAATTGTATTGATTGCGTTTTGTGTGCAGTTTTATATCATGACGGGTCTGAAGCCATAAAAGGTCATTACGTGACCGATGTTTACCACATCGGAAGCAATCAGTGGCTTCGATGTGACGACCAATCAGTGAAAGTGATCCCAATGCAGAAAGTGCTCAATCCTGAGTCTTCACGAACTCCTTATCTGCTATTTTATAGACGAAACGACACTCTTTACAGCAAACATACGCTCCAATCAAACCATTCAAAGACATATTATCGTTAACCGCAAGTTTGAAATCTTGGTTTCAAATCATTATTTTTCAATATAAAGTGTTTCACAAACTGTTTTGACTGGTCTTCCCTTCAAATCGTTTTTATTAGTAATAAGAAATGAGACAAAAGACGATTGTGTTTCTGCTGTGCTTTCTATGGACTAAATGCTGTGATAAGTGCTTAATGGGATGTTATGACAAAGCTATTGATATTAGATTTTAACTAAAAATGTTAAGCAAAATATATTTCTAATTTTATTAATAAATCTGTTAAATGATTAATCAAATTATAAATTGATGAAAAAGAAATCGGAAATCACATAACCGTCCAAATAGTCTGTTTGAGACAATTATGTACTTTATTATCGATTACAAGCCAACCGTCCAATGAATTTGAATTGTTTATGCGATCATCCGATGGAAACGGATCTATCAAATTATATAACAGTTAAAGTCTTCACATTATTATTATTATAATTAACATTATATTGTAGTCTTTGATCCGCATTTTTGGCATTCAATCGATCGCTTTTATTAAGACATTAATCGATAATAAACTGGATTTAAATATTAATAACTGATAATAATGTGAGAATTAATTTGTGTGCAAATAATAACTATTAATATTATATTATTATTACTGAAGAACTTTAGGAAATAATTAAAATTTAAAATATTTTAATTTTTGTGTAAATTTAAAGTTTGAAAAATTATTATTATTATTATTACTGATTATAATTTTGTTTTTGCTTTTCTATTGTTCTAATCGTTTGTTCCCCTGTTTTTAGGGATACAGTTAATATTGTCTGAGTTATTGAAAGCACACAAACAGTGCACACATACGCAGAGAGATATGTTTATGCAATTATAATTACGGTCGATAGTAAATTGTCATATAGTTTTTTAATTTAATTTAATTAAAAGTTATTTAATATACAAATTCTTAGTGTTTTTTAATTATTATTAGTATTCATAGCGTTTAATAAATAGGCAAAGATTAATATGCAGTGAATGTGATGTGAGACTCAATGAAATTAATCATTTGATAAGATCTACTGTTAATTTTGTTTGAATTTATGAAATCTTTGCACGTCTTCTGCCGATTAAATCTTTCGATTTGTGTTTTGGTCTTATTTTTACTGTAATATAAAATGTTTTAAATTTTAATTATATAATATTAGTGTGTTTTTTGATGAATTTATTTGCAAAATGTTTAAAAATTAATGAAATTATAAATATATTAAAACTAAATTTAAATTAATTTTTACTGTAATATAAAATGTTTTAAATTTTAATTATATAATATTAGTGTGTTTTTTGATGAATTTATTTGCAAAATGTTTAAAAATTAATGAAATTATAAATATATTAAAACTAAATTTAAATTTTTTTCCCTAAATCTCTAAATTTGAAAAAAAAACTTATCTTTTATATTAATTTATACAAAATATTTACCGAATTATCTTTAAATAACTTTTTGTTTTTACTCTCTGTTACGCTTCGAGAATATTAACTGTATTTTGAATTTATTGGTGTTTTTTTGCTCATATATTGCAATATAATTATAATTAATTGTTTGATAATTATTAAAAATATTGTGTTTATTCGTCATAACATTACAATGAAATACATTATAAAAATTAACTAAAAAACTTCAAAATAAAATTTTATATTTGAGTAAAAAAATAATTGTTTTATTATTATTTGTTTGCAAAGAATTAATTTATCAATTATTCTTCAATTGGGAAGTAATCGTTGGAATGATTATTGAATTACAGTATCGTTTCACACATCATGTCTTTGGTTT